CAAAATTATAGCTATAGCAGCACCAGTAGCAGTGTTAAGTATTTAGTAGATGTAGTATTAGAATAGCAACAGCAGTAATATTTTCTTTTTTTTTTTTTTTGAGATGGAGTCTTGCTCTTGTCACCCAGGCTGGAGTGCAATGGCACGATCTCGGCTCACTGCAACCTCCGCCTCCCGGGTTCAAGCGATTCTCCTGCCTCAGCTTCCCAAGTAAGCTGGGATTACAGGCAACTGCCACCACGCCCGGCTAATTTTTGTATTTTTAGCAGAGACGGGGTTTTGCCATGTTGGCCAGGCTAGTCTCAAACTCCTGAGCTCGTGATCCGCCCGCCTTGGCCTCCCAAAGTGCTGAGATTACAGGCGTGAGCCACTGCGCCCGGCAGCAGTAATATTTTCTTAAAGTTGAAATATGTTACTAAATCTTGAGGTCAATCAAGCCTAAAATTAGCTAGAAGGCAGCTGTTTTTGCTAGTTCTAAACATTAAGCAAGCATCTATATCCTAGATGTGCAAATTATGTGTATTACTGCTGTTTTATCTTTTCTTTATTATATTTCTTTTCTCATAACCAGGCATGAACTATCTTATCATTATACATAAATGTTATTAAAACTGTGTATGTGGAAGCTGATATAAAAAAAGTCACTTACTCTGGTGGAGGCATTTTTGAGGGTTCCACATCTCGGAGGAACTCGCACTGAAGAGCCTGTTCAGCAGTGCAGCGCTTACTAGGATCCAAGGCGAGCATGTAATCAAATAAGTCTAGCGCAGCTGCAGGAATACTAGCATGAGAGGATTACAAAAGTCAGATGTGTTCTTTAGATACAAGCTTATGTTTCTTTAGGAGCTTATTTTTTATTAAATTGTAAAACTAAAACTAAGATAAAGTAAAAATAATTTTAAATACTAACATTTTTTAATATGTGCATAATACTTTAATAAATCCAGAATTTTCCTTAGAATAAATATTTCATTATTTTTACATAATTTTTGCAATCACTTTCTAAACAATAGTATATATTGTTACTCCATGGGCAATTTGCTGCTATTACACAAATTAAGAACTGAACAGTATAGTTTTTTCTAAAGCAAAATGAAAACCTGAGCTTAAGTAACTTGAAAGCTGTCCCAGTAACATTTAAATCATCTTAGTCAAGTTATTTTGTGTAAGTACCATATCAAACACACAACCTCAAATCACTGATTGCATAATAATGGTAAAATGGTAATCTGCATGTGGCAAACAGAACTCAAAATTAAATGCCCTAGAAGAATTATAGGTTTACCTCAGATCACTAGAGAATAGACTAACATTTATAATTCACTAGAATTAAAAGTAAAACATTCATGCAATAAGGATGTTTATACATCCCCTTCTTACAAAACAAATTCTTCTCTTAACTTTCGACGATATTGCTTCTTTGGTTTCATGGTGTTGAAATACGGTAGTTTGATTACATCAGGCCACACTGCAGGACATGGACTCCCACATATTCGGCTAAGCAACACACAAAAGAAAGTATATCACTATAAACTACATAAAGAATACATACAACTGTTATACAAAACATCAACTCATTTTTAAATACATAAAAATTGAAGCCTTGGTCTATAAAAAATTTTGTTATTTTATTTATTTATTTATTTATTTTGAGACAGAGTCTCACTCTGTCACCGAGGCTGGAGTACAGTGGCACAATCTCAGCTCACTGCAATCTCTACCTCCTGGGTTCAAGTGATTCTCCTGCCTCAGCCTCCTGAGTAGCTGGGATTATAGGCATGCGCCAGCACGGCCCAGCTAGTTTTTGTATTTTTAGTAGAGACAGGATTTCCCCATGTTGGCCAGGCTGGTCTCGAACTCCTGGCCTCAAGTGATCCACCTGCCTAGGCCTCCCAAAGTGCTGGGATTATAGGCATAAGCCACCACACCCGGCCCTCGTTAAATATTTTAGTCATCCCAATTTAATTATTTAAGAAATTAATTTATTTTCAGTAGATACTTTTAACAATCCAAGCATTCCAATTCTTAGAGGACTTTCATATTTGCAAAATGAAATCTTAAAACATGATACTCAAAATATGTGACTTATACCTTAAAACCAACATAAAAAATGTATGCCAATAAATTAAGGAACTAGAGTTTAATATATGTCCCTCTATGGTTTTTTGGTACCTGTCACTCCTCCTTCCCATGAATATAAGGCAGTCTACAATAATAGCAGAAACAGATTCCTATATGACCTCAAGAAGGTAACTGTAGTGTAGACTACTGCTAACTGCCATCAATGGAAGGACACTAAACATAATACTCCTGAAACATTAAAGTTCTTCAATTTGAGTAGTGCTGCTGATCTTAAGTCATAAAGAAATTTTAACTGCTTTACTCTCGTTTACCTGTATCTTGAAAACCCTCATTATTTTAGTATTAACTAGTAAATCCTTGTTATGGTAATTTGTAGAAAAAATGCTATAAACAAATAGGCAACTCCAGCTACTAAACATTTAAAAACTAACTGATTTAGTAATATGTAGATGAAAATTTGATTAAATCTACTTATTTTTTGTATGCCAAATTTCAAGGATAAATGTTTATTATATATAAAATTGTCAGCTAATCTGCATATGTAAAAAGAAAATGTTAATGTATCACTGATTGAAAGTAAAAATATTCCAAACATACGTAAATACAAACGCATGTATAAATGTATATAAAGAAGTAATGGCTCAAGTTGCCAGACATTCTTTTAGCTGAGCTTTAGAATAACTCAGAAACATATTTATAGGAGACCTTTCACATGTCTAAAGCCATATGTCACTGAAATGTACTTTTTTGTCTCAATATATTTAACATTTTTATAAACCCAAGCTTTAAAGATACTAAGAACTTATTCTTTGTACAGTTCTACTCTCTTTTGTCTGAAAGTCCAATTTTCACAACCTCCTCAACCCTACTCCCTTGGAAAGAAAGCCCAACTCCTATAGCATGGGCTCTCTAGATCTGGTCCCAATCTGCCTTCCTAGTCTCATTTCCCAATGCATCTCTCCCCACAGGCCCTCCTTCATGTCTATGCTAATGTTCCTTCTCCCTAAATTCTATATAGCTGAATTCTTTCCACTTCTCAAGATTCAGATCAAAAGTAATCTAATTAACAAAAGTCTTCTGTATTCCCCAGTGCTACTCAGAATTACTCCTTGCATGCTACTGGTTTGACATTTGTTTCATCCTGCTTTCTATTTTAGTTGTTTACAGGTCTCTTTTCCATTTCTTATTTTTGTATACTTTTCTAGAGTAACCATGTAAACACAATCGACCCCAGGCAGACTGATGTGCACTATAATAGAGGTATAAAGCATACTGGAATACAGGAAGGCAAAGATACTTTCAACATGCAGAAATATAAGAAAACTTACTCAAGTTAGGGAAAGAGTGAAGAATTTTGGTTATAATTCCAAGGATAAATAAACCATAGAGCCAGGCGCAGTGGCTCACACCTGTAATCCCAGCACTTTAGGAGGCCAAGTCGGGTGGATCACGAGGTCAGGAGATCGAGACCATCCTGGCTAACACGGTGAAACCCCGTCTCTACTAAAAATACAAAAAATTAGCCAGGCGTGGTGGTGGGCGCCTGTAGTCCCAGCTACTTGGGAGGCTGAGGCAGGAGAATGGCTTGAACCCGGGAGGCAGAGCTTGCAGAGAGCCGAGATCGCGCCACTGCACTCCAGCCTGGGCGACAGAGCAAGACTCTGTCTCAAAAAAAAAAAAAAAACCAAAAAAAAACCATAGACAGGTGGGAAAGGGAATAAGATGAATTATGTTACCAGAAGAGAGAACACAGGCAAAGGCATGGAAATAGCAAAGTATAGACATTTGGGAGGAACACTATGTAAATCAGTGTAGGTAGAATACAGGACTCAGGGAGGCTTAGCTGGAAGCATAACCGGGGTCTACATAATACTGCGGTGGGTTTGTCTGTCTGTAGACAGGTTTTTGCTATGTTGCCCCGGCTGGTCTTGAACTCCTGACTTCAAGTGATCCTCCCACCTCAGCCTCCTAAAGTGTTGGGATTACAGGCATGGGCCACTGCGCCCAGTCCACAATACAGTTCTAAGAAGGTACTTTGCCTAAGTATAATGAAGACAGACTTCAGAAGCAAGCTTTAGATTTAAATCCTGTCTGACACTGGTCAAATTATATTGCTTAGGAATCTGCTCCTCTTTTGGAAACTTAAGATTAATTTTATTTTGAAGCTACAAAATTAAATGAGCTAGCATCTGGCCCATTAATAGTCTTATAATAAATAAGTTTCATTACCCTTAAAGAATTTCAATTATTTTACCATACGTGATGTTGAAAGATATCTCAGTACCAAAGTTATCTAATCAAAAGCAGCACACACGATGGAATATACATACCGATGCAAGGAAAGTTCCTAGAAACTAGAGAGGTAGACATGACAGCAACTGATAACTTCACTTACAAAATCTGTGCCTGGTGACCAGTCAGCTACTCCAAGACCATTTACTACTGAGATGCATCATACACTAAGGTATATGCTAAATCTCCAATTATCTGAGGTCTACTTTGGGAATCTATCATGATTTGATCAATCTGCTCTGGTGTCAATACCGTATTGTGCTATTAATATTTCTTGAAAGTCTGATAGAACAAATCTCCTATCCACTTCTTCACTTATTCTCCTCAAAATTTTATTACACATGAACTATAATCAATACTGTAGCACTCCAGAAGAGAATCCTGCTAGGATTCAACCACCACTCTGAATTTATAGATTTAGAACCAACTACTGCCTTTACAATGCTTAATATTTCTATTTTAGAAAAATTCAATGCTTCTATTTCTTTCCATTTATTTATTTATTTATTTATTTATTTATTTATTTATTTCCAGTGAGATCTTGTGTGTTTCCTTTATGGGCTTTTTGTTTTTTAAACAGTTTTTTTAAAAAAATAGACACAGGGTTCCGCTGCTACCCCAGGCTGGAGTTCAGTGGCGCAATCATAGCTCCCTGCAGCCTCAACCTCCTGGTCTCGAATGATCCTCCTGCCTCAGCTTACCAAATAGCTGAGACTACAGGCATATGCCACTATATCCATCTAATTTGAGACCCAGGCTGGTCTCAAACTCCTAGCCTCAAGTGATCCTCCTGCCTCAGTCTATCAAAGTATTGGGATTACAGGCATAAGCCACTGAGCCCAGCCTTAAACATGTTTTTAGCCCATTGTATTTTCTTTCTTTCTTTCCTTTTTTTTTTTTTGAGATGGAGTCTCGCTCTGTCGCCCAGGCTGGAGTGCAGTGGCACCATCTCGGCTCACTGTGAGCTCCGCCTCCTGGGTTCACACCATTCTCCTGCCTCAGCCTCCCAAGTACCTGGGACTACAGGTGCCCGCCACCACACCCGACTAATTTTCTTGTATTTTTAGTAGACACGGGGTTTCACCATGTTAGTCAGGATGGTCTCGATCTCCTGACCTAGTGATCCACCCACCTCGGCCTCCCAAAGTGCTGGGATTACAGGCGTGAGCCACCCACCGCACCCAGCCCAAGCCCATTATATTTTCTAAGCAATTAATTGGAAAAGCTTGGCCAGGCATGGTGGCTCACGCCTTTAATCACAGCACTTTGGAAGGCCGAGGCGGGTGGATTGCTTGAGCCCAGGAGTTTGAGACTAGGCTTGGCAAGATGGGAAACCCCATCTCTACTAAAAACACAAAACTTAGCTGGGCATGGTGGCGCACAACTGTAATCCCAGCTACTTGGGAGGCTGAGGCAGGAGAATCACTTGAACCTGGAAGGTGGAGGTTGCAGTGAGCTGAGATCAGGCCACTGCACTTCTTTAGCCTGGGTGACAGAGAGCAAAACTTTGTCTAAAAAAGAAAAAAAGAAAGAAAGGTTGGGCACAGTGGCTCATGCCTGTAATCCCAGCACTTTGGGAGGCTGAGGTGGGCAGATTACAAGGTCAAGATATCAAGGCCATCCTGGCCAACATGGTGAAACCCTGTCTCTACCAAAAATACAAAAATTAGCTGGGTGTGGTGGCGTGCACCTGTAGTCCCAGTTACTCAGGAGGCTGAGGCAGGAGAACCGCTTGAACCTGGGAGGCGGAGGTTGCAGTGAGCCGAGACTGCGCCATTGCACTCCAGCCTGGCAACAGAGCAAGGCTCTGTTGAAAGGAAGGAAAGGAGGGAGGGAGGGAGGGAGGGAAGGAGGAAGGAAGGATGGAAAAGGGGAAAGGAGAAAGGAGAAAGGAGAGGAAAAGAAAAAGAAAAGAAAGAAAAGCTTTATGACAGGAAAGGTTTGAAATTTTACATTCTTTTTTTTTCTTTATTTTTTCTGAGACAAAGTCTCACTCTGTCACCCAGGCTGGAGTGCAGGGGTGCAAACCAGGCTCAGTGCAACCTTGACCTCCTGGACTCCAGCAATCCTCCCATCTCAGCCTCCCAAAGTGCTAGGATTACAGGTGTGAGTCATCATTCCTG